GGCTTTAAGCAATTCTCTTGCCTCAGCCTCCCAAGTAGCTGGGACTACAGGCACCCGCCACAACACCTGGCTATTTTCTATTGCAGTTGTCACTGTTGTTTTAGCTGGCCCAGACTGGGTTCGAACCTGCCAACTTCAGTGTATGTGGCTAGCACTGTAATCACTACGCTACAGGCGCCGAGCCAAAGAAAAGTAACCTTTTAAAGGACTCTGGACAGATGAGGCTCAGTGGCTCACACCTGTAAGTCTAGCAGTCTGGGAAGCGGAGATGGGAGGATCTCCTGAATCCAGGAGTTTTTGAGGTTGCTGTGAGCTACAAGGATGCCACAGCATCTGTCTGAATGAATGAATGAATGAATGAATTACAAATAAAGGACTCTGGACAGATGCAAGGCAGCAAGGGGGAAGATTTTTCTGAAACACTGTCAATACCAACTCTGTCAACCCCAAACAAAACTTTACAGCTCACCCATGAGAAGCTAGGACCACAGGGCTACGAATCACAACTGGAGAACGAGACTACCGCCTTTTACTGAAAAACCGAAAGCCACAGATCACTACCTCTCTCTACCTTTCCTGCAGCCCAGGGTTTTTCAACCCTTTTTAACTCACGGCACACTTGAACCCACAGTTCAACTTCCAAGGCACACTTAAATTATGCTGATCAAAACAAACAAAAAGAAATAAAACAAAGAATATACTTACTGCGCTTTGAACTTCTTTCAAAAATAATTAGTGGTCTTTAAAAATTTTCATGACATACCTAAGATCCTCTCAGGGCACAGGAGTTGAAAAATCACTGCTGTAGCCGTTTGGGAAGCAGCTAGAAGTGGAGCTTTAAAATAACCCAAGAAACAATACAAAACAAAATGGGTGGAATTCTTTGAGTTCCCCTTTGACTAAGTCCCCCTCATTTTAATCTCTGGGTCTCTAGGAGAACTGATATTTGCCTGGTAGAGTTCCTGTGGGGGGGGGGGGCCGCACCTAATATGCACAAGGCCAGGGTGTTCAGCAGGCCGGGGGTAAAGGGCTCAACTACAACTTGAACTTTGCCATAGAATTGAAAACAATGTAACCTAAACATCTGTACCCTGGCATTAATTTGAAATTTTTAAAAAAAAAAAAAGTTCATGTGTGAAGGGGTTGGTTGCAGGGTGTTAAGAAATGAGGGGGGGGGAGGCTTTGGCCAGAAATCTAGTGATCCAACCTGCCCTTTCCACTGCTTCAATCATTCTACAGAACGTTCTGTGACACTCTGCCCTGCCGTTTAATAAGGAGAGGTTTACTTAAAAATCCAGACTTCCCATTCCTGCAGAAGAGGATCTGAAAAGCCTGAGTCCACATTTCCATATGGCTCCAGGGGCTGGAGCCTTGGAGGTGGGGGCCCGAGCGGCAGTGTACCTGGCCCCACCCTTGTCCACACCCTCTTTCAAGTGCCTCCCCAAACCCAGGTCCTGAGGACCAGCCAGCGGTCTCATCACATCACACTTAGTGTGGAAGCTTCTCTGTGCCACGTCTCTCCAAGGTGTTTTAAGGAAAATAAGAGCACAACCACCTCTTTGTGGAGGCAACGAAATTCATTAAGTATTTAGACCACATGAACAAATTGCATTTCTGTAGAAAGAATTCCATGTAAGTCACCTACTTTTACTACTCTCAGTAATCATCCCTCAACTCACCACTTCTCCGATCCAGGTAGGTATCATACAGTAGGTAAGATTCTTTTTTTTTTTTTGAGACAAACTCAGTTTGTCACCCTTGGTAGAGTGCAGTGGCATCATAGCTGACAGTAACCTCAAACTCTTGGGCTTAAGAGATACTCTTGCCTCAGCCTCCTAAGTACCTGGGACTATAGGCACCACACCGCCCCATACACACAACACTTGGCTAGTTTTTCTATTTTGTAGTAGAAACCAGGTCTCGCTCTTGCTCAGGCTGGTCTCAAACTCCTGACCTCAGGCTATCTACCTGCCTTGGCCTCCCAGAGGGCTAGGATTACAGGCATGAGCCACTGGGCCCAGCCAGTAGCTAACATTCTTTGCAGTACTTAACTATTTCAGGCACTGTTCTAAGCCCTTGATTAATTCATTTGATCCTTCTAAGCACCTACAAAAGTAGGCCATACTATGATCGTCATGTACAGATGGAGAAACTAAGGCATAAAGTGGTTAGTACACATACAGAACTAGTGAGTGTCAGGGCTGGAATTTGAGACTC